GGAGGGGCCGGGCGGGGCCCCAGGCTGGGAGTTTAAAAGGGGCGACCCCTGGGGACAACGGGCCGGGCCGTGCGACAGCGCCACCATGTGCGAGTTGTACAGCAAGGAGACCACAATGGCGCTGCGGGGCAAGTACATCGGGTAAGGAGCCCCGGCCCTCGGGAGAGCGCGGGGAGCGGGCGAAAGGGAGCTGGAGGACGAGCGAGCGCGACTGGCGTGCAGTGCTCAAGGAGGGAGCCCGGCCACCTCGCGTGCCTGCTCCTGGTCATCACCTACACCTGGAGCCGGGAGCGCCGGGGGGCGGGGGGCGGGGCACCGCAGCTGGAGGAGCTGGCAGTGAATGAGCTAAGGATTGCGCCGCAGAACGGGCGCCGAGGACTCGCCGCCACTGTCACCTAACCCTAAGCTTGAAATCTGTGAACCCAGACCCTCCTGCCTGGGGTGCACAGTCGGGGTCACGCCCCTGCCAGCACGGGGCGCCCCTTCCCGGACCCCAGCCTACAGACAAAACAATGCGTCCAGACACACCGCAGCCTGAGCAGTTGTCAGTCTAAGGCTGCTCGGTGTTCACAAGAATCAGGATACTTTCTACATAGCCGCAGATCAGCTTAAAATGTCCTTGGCGACCCCCGGACTACCTCCCACGAGTGGGGTTCTTTTAGGCACGCAAAGTCACCAAAGTGAAATAGTACATTCACCATTAGCTCTTACACACCAAGCCAGATCAGAAACCTCTGTAATACACCTGCTGCTTAATTGATATGACAAACATTCACCCAAAGGAGCAAAAATATGGATGACTTTTTATCATGCCCAAAGGAGTATATTAGAATACTTGAATTTCTTTGGGGTTTATTTGTTTGCTTGTGACAGGGTCTTGCTATGTAGCCCAGGGTCTTGCTATGGCCTTGAACTTTGGCAATCCTTCCTGCCTCAGCCTCCCTGAGTGCTGGGATTACAGGAGTGCGCTGCCACACCCAGCCACTTTAATTTCAGAATAAGATGGGCGTGGTGACAAATACCTATAATCCCAGCACTGGGGGAGGCTGAGGCAGGAGGACAGCAGTGAATTTAAGGCCAGCCTGGGCTGCAGAGTGAGACCCTATCTCAAAAAATAAAATTAAATAATAGAAACCAGGACTAGGGCTGTAGGTGGGAGAGCACTTGCCTAGTAGTCACAAGGCCCTGAGTTCAAGCCCCAGCGCTGCAAAATAAATAAATTATGGAAATAATTAGGAAGATAATAATGCAAATTATGGAGTAAGTGTGGGAAACTCTCCTGTGAGACACTCAAGTACCACTCAGGATTCACGGAACCCGGAATGCGCTCTACCATCTGCTGGGTGCAGAACTTGAAGTCGTCTGACTTTAGCTTTCTTTACCAGTTGGAAGGAGAAAGGGGAAAGGTGCAGACACCACCAACTTTCAGATGCCGGTTTCCTCAGTGGGTGTCTTCCTTGTTCTGTGCCTCCATCTTCTCGCCCATAAAAAACGGCAAAGCTATCAGCCCCTGCTTCGTAGGCTGGGTCTGAGGATTAAATGAGATGCTGTTTGTAAAATACATTACAGTTTCTGAGAGTAGGAAGCTCCCGAACAAGGTAAGTGGCCGGGCTGTTTTCTGCCTCCTGTAACTGACAGCTGCGCCCACTGTGGCATCTCCGCCGGTCCCAGGCCCTCCTGCACCGTCTTCTTCCCAGAGGACCCGGTGAAGATTGTGCGTGCTGAGAGACAGTACATGTTCGACGAGCGCGGCCAGCGCTACCTGGACTGCATCAACAATGTGGCCCACGGTGAGCGGTGTCCCGGGACAGGGACGGGCCGGTCCCGGGGAGGGGGTCCTGAGCTCCGCCTCTCCCCGCCGCAGTGGGGCACTGCCACCCCGAGGTGGTGGAAGCCGCCCGGAGGCAGATGGAGCTGCTGAACACCAACTCCCGCTTCCTGCACGACAACATCGTGGCCTACGCCCAGCGCCTGGCGGCCACGCTGCCCCCCCAGCTCTGCATCTGCTACTTTACCAACTCGGGGTACGTGCCCTGGTCCCCCCTCGCCCCATCTCTCATGCCCTGCCTTCCGGTGCGTGGTGGGCCCGGTCTGGAACTGAGAGGCTTCCGTCCGGAGCTTGTGTTGGGGCCTCGAGGCTCCCGGGTCCTAAGGCAGAGTAACTAGAGAGGCAGTCGGCAGGACAGGGCTTTGGAAACACCACTGAGAAGCCGGTGAGTTGCCCACACCTGTAACCGCAGCAGCGCTCAGGAAGCTAAGGCAGGAGGATCGCTGCAAGTTCTGGGCCAACCTGAACTACAGTGACACCCGGCCTCAAAAAGCCAAATTAAAAAAAAAGGAAATTCAAGGATATATTTCAACTTGTAAATTCTATAAATTCAAATTATCATCCCAGCATTCTAAGACATGTTATGCAGATATCAGATAATGTGTTTTTGAAAATACATCTCTAGTGACTTGAACAGTTTAAAATGCAGTTATATTAGGGGAAAGCTTTATGTGTATCAGCAACTCCTACTTTTCAATGATATAGTTTTCATTACATTCACCATTAGAAATTTGGTTCGCTTATGATTTTCTCTGATTTGCTGTTCCACAAGGTATTTCAAAAGCAAACATATAACCAGAATATCATTTTTTCCTTTGTAAAGAACTGAGCAGCTATTTTGGGGTCTAACATGTTCTAAAGCACGCAGAATATAGTGCTCGGCCTTCCCTCAAAGGAGTTCCCCGCGGTCCAAGAGGGCTCCTCGGAGGTGCACAGAGCCCTGCTGGGCTCACACTGGGTGCCGTCCCGTCCCAGCCTCTCCGGGGCTGGTCCTTGTCAGAAAGTAGGCAAAGCTGCACCTGCCTGGCACAGGTGTGAGGAGCATGAGCTCGGGACGTAGCGGTCACCTCCTGCCTCCGCACCTGGGTCGGTCTGGACTGCACAGCGAGGAAAGGTGTGATCTCCCTGGGAAAGAGACCAGGGAAAGCGAGGGCCTGACCAGGGGCAACGCGGCCGTGGCTTCCCTGGGCTTCTTCTGTCTGCCTCGTTCTTTTTACATTTTTTAATTGACCGTATGTCATGCTCTTTGCTGGAAACACCCAGGAACTTGTCACCGGGGCTGAAGCAGGAGGAGATTGCGAGAGAGGATGTCAGCGTCCCTGTGTGCGCTGCCGCCTGCCTCGCAACTTTGCTAGTTTTGAACGCGGCGGTCACCTTGTCCCTCTCTACCCCACTGTCCCCCAGATCTGAAGCCAATGACTTAGCCTTACGCCTGGCTCGTGGGTTCCGGGGCCGCCAGGACGTGATCACCCTGGAGCAGTGAGTTCGGGCTCGGGGTCTCCAGGCCACACACGCAGGGCCACCTGTCACTCTGCACACAATGCATCTCCAGCTCTGTCTGTCCCGGGTCTCACCTGCTTACTCTGATCCCCAACACCACTGTCACCATGGTTCTGCCTTGACCTTCAGCAGAGCAGGTGCTTTCTCTGCTTTATCCATGCCTGGATCTCTTGTAATTTCCTCTCCAAACCTCTCACTTATAGTTTTGAGCAAGAAATAGAAAAAGGAAAAATGTCACAGCATTTTGTCAACTCTCAATCTGAGTTCTTCTCAGAGAAGCCTCCTGTTCTTTCCCAACTAATATTTACCTAATATTTGCAACCCGGCACCCTTTCAAAACCACTCTGAACAGAAACCAGTGAGCTTTCTTGGATAGAAAGCCATCAGCCAAGCATAGTCCCACATGCCTGCAACCCAGCTAGCAGGGAGGCTGAGTCAGGAGGGTCACTGGAGCTCAGCACTCTTCCAGGTGAACTTGAGCAACAGAGTAACACCCTGTTTAAAAAAAATTTTTTTTAAACTAGAATATCACTGTTAAATATATTTGAAAATTACATATGAGATTTTTGTAGACAATCTATTTTAGCGACATAATACAAAGAAATTGTGTGTGTTTTCCCCACTTGAAAGAAATGGCCCATGAGCACACTGGGCTTCCGTGTGGTTTACTACGCTACAAAGGGACCTGACAGAGTAAATGCCTTGCTGTAGGGCACAGGAAAGGGTGACGTAACCAGAAGCCCTGCAGTGATCCTGGTCTCCTGTGAGCCATGACAGCACAAGGCGAATTAATAAAGACAGAAATGAGGGCCAGGGATTTAGCTCAGCAGTGCCACCACCTTCCTCATAAGTCCTGAGTTCAGTCTCAGGTACCAGAAAGCAAAGACAGAAATGAGACTTAGACAAGGAGCTGATCAGTGCTGCTCTGGGCAGCAAAGACGAAAACCTGAGCTTGCCACACTTTTATTCAGTCCATGAGGCGAAAGGAACAGATGACTCGGGGCAGAGAGTTCCATACCTAGGGAGAGTAAGAGGTGTAAGAGGTGACTCAGATGGGTGGCAGCAGCATGAAAATCCTAGAACAATGAGGAGCTATGCCGGCGAAGATTGTTCCTCCCGGGATGTCTTCAGCTGGTGTAATCCCGCCCCAGAGCATCGTGGAACCACTGGGGTCTTAGCTGTGACCGGAGGCAAACAGAGTTATGTCTCAACATGTCATAACCAGCCTGTAGGCAGGAACACTAGGCCCAGTCACGATTTAATTAGGAGATGATCTTTCCCCCAAATGATGTAGACTTGCTCCCAACACCTTGCCAAGGAAGTGAGATCCTACACTGTCCCCTGTGGCACCGTGTTGAGAGCCTCCCTGGACAGATGAGCGTGGAGGACAGGCAATCTTAGGCTTCGCAGGGTAGAAGAATCCCTCTCGGAGCAGTCTTCCTGTTCTTTTTCTTTTCAGTGCCTATCACGGCCACCTGTCATCTTTAATTGAGATCAGTCCGTATAAATTCCAGAAGGGCAAGGATGACCACAAGGAGTTCGTGCACGTGGTAAGTCTCTGAGAGGCTCGAATCAGAATATCAGTGCTGGAAGGGAGCCCCAGGGAGAATCCAGCTCCGTTCTCCAGCACAGTGCAGCCAGGGGACCTAAAGTCAGATCTCAAGCAGTTCTGGCACTGGTCCCACAGTGGGAGTCAGGACAACTTGTGGGTTAAAGTCCACAGCTGAGTTCGTGTCGCGGGCGAGCGTGGCATTCACAGCCATCGTCTCATTTTTCTTGCTCCTTGATATTCGGTGACTTTTTCGATCACTGGTCTCACTTCAAAATTCAGAGTTAATTTGCATTTGTATGATGCCGCACAGCTAATTTGCTCTATGCCAGTGGTGGTGAACCTACGGCCCGCGTGCCATGGCCAGCTGTTTGTTATCACTGGAAGAGCTAAAGGGTTTGCCATCACTGCATGTGCTGTTATTATAAAGATTTATTCAGTCAAATAAAGAAACCAAGCAAGTTGTTGAACCAGTGAATCACACTTGGAGTGTTTGTGTTAGTGGAGGGCCAGTAGATTCTCTAAGATACATCAGTACCTGCTTATTGGTTCACGCCTGTAATCCCTGCACTCAGGAGGCTGAGGCAGAAGAATTGCTGCAAGTTCAAGGCCTGTCTGGAGTATAGCATGAGACCCTGTCTCACCAAAAACGTCCTCATCCTTCCCCCAAAACATCTTCTTTCAGGCTTTTAAGATCTAGAGTCAGTGCTAAGCCCGTCTTTACTTTCCTGAGTGATTATAATTTGTGGTAGGATTGATAGGTATTGGTTCATTTTTAAAATAGAATAGTGACTACAGTTTCCATTCATTGCCATTTTAAATACTATGGTCACAGTGGTTGATTCGAATTTGCTTTGTATGTGAACAGAGATAAAGTCTTGAGTTACAGGGTCTGGGAACAAATCTAAGCTCCTGTTCAGACTTTGAAGATGTCAGTTCTTCACAGAGCTCCGGAGTGTGGGGGAAAGGGCAGAGGAGCCCGGGTGGGTCGGGGACAAAGCACCCTTCCACCCAGCGCGCCCTCGTGGGGAGACGCACGGTTAAGGGTTTGTCGAGAAGGCCGCGTGGCGTGCTGTTCCCAGGCGCCAGCTCCTGACACGTACAGAGGGAAGTACAGAGAGGACCACGCGGACCCGGCCGGCGCCTACGCGGACCAGGTGAAGGAGATCATCGAAGACGCACACCACAGAGGCAGGAAGGTGGGTGCTTCTGAAGACCCTGGAGCGTCTTATAAAATGGTTGAAGCATATAGTCGGTGGGGAGGAGAAAGGGTGAGCCCTGAACCCCTGTGGTTCTTTCTGGCTTCGTTTTCGCTCGCCTCACATGTCACTGAGCATAACCGCAGTGGCCGTGCCTCCGACCGTCCTGTCCTGCGGCTGAGCTGCTGGCCACGGCCTGTGCTCTAGGCCAGGGCAGGCAGGATGCAGAGGAAGGGAGAGGCGTGAGGACGGGAGTGCTGCAGCCCAGGCTGTCCCTGGAGAGGCGCAGGGGGTGGTCAGCGCACCCCTGGCCCAGGCTGCTGCCCTCCAGCGAGGTGGAAGGCTGTCCTTCCGGCCGGGGCCTGGAGGCCTACACAGAACCAGACTCCGGGCAGGAGACTCCTCTGCTTCTCTTCAGTCTGCACCGATTGTGTCCCACTCCCAGCCCACTGGGGCAACTCGCGTGGACATTCTGTGCCACTGGACAGTACTTTACCTGAACCTCACTAAGGCATACACTGGGCACTTCTAAGAAAATCTGCACTGAAATACAAATGACTTGCTTTTTCCAATGAAATCTCTTTGCCGTTTGCCTCCCTGGTTCTTCTTTTTTCCTCGCTTGTTTTCTGTCCTTTTTGCCGCATCTCTGTGCAGACAGACCCAAGGTCCCTCTTCCGACAGTTACAGTGACCAGATCATTGCACCCCTCACTGCTAAGAGGACGCCCGTAACTTCTGGAGGACATGAGCATTCCATGTCTGTGGGGTCCATGCTGTGCCCTTCTGAGCAACAGCTAGGCCCACAGCACAGTGACATTTTAGATGATCAGCCTCTGGGGTCCGGCACCCTGCTTGACAGCTAAGCCATAAGTATCTAAAAAGTGAAGGATTTCTCCCAAGCTAATATGCTTGTTAAGGAGAAATTAGAACCAAGACCTGGGTTCTCTTGGTTTCATTTTTATTTTTATTCTTATTTTGTGGCTGACCCTGAACTCACTGAATTCAGGGGCCTAGAATCCACAGTGAGCCTCCTGCCTCAGCCTCCAAGGGCTGGGATTACAGGTGTGCGCCATGACACCCTGCTCTTGTTTCTTTTCCCACACTTTCTCTTCTGCTTCTGCGTTGTCTGCTTCCTACTTCTGCCCCTCAGCCTCTAGAACGCCTCATCTGTATTCCCGTGGCGAGTTGCGTGACTGGATGTGGATTTCCTCCAGGGTGAAACCGAGCAAAGTCGCCAGCCGCCCTGCCCTCGGCTCTCATTCCACCAGGGGAAGCCGACGCCAGGGCGCCGCCTTTGGAGGCTGCAGGGCTGCTTAGCGGCTCTTGTCAGAGATGCCGGAAATGTCGGGGTTCGCCAGCTCACCCTCGGAAGGCACTGCTCTTCGGGGGTGAAGAAGCGCCTGGCGCAGTCTCCCTGGTGGCTGCGGTTGCTTTACTAGTACCCTGGGACCCCAGAGGCAGAGCTAGGTCAGTTACGACTCCCGCAGACAGATTTCTCTAATCAGAGGGCCTGCCTGCCACCTCCAGAGGCCTGCCCCTGACCACCGGTAAGACGGCCCTGCCTGCGGAGGGCCCGATGGGCCCTGACCCGTGCTCCGTCCCACAGATTGCTGCCTTCATCGCGGAATCCATGCAGAGCTGCGGCGGACAAGTTCTGCCCCCGGCAGGCTACTTCCAGAGAGTGGCAGAGTGCGTACCTGCCGGGCGCCCTGGGCAGGCGGAGGGCACTGCTGGGGCTCCGAGGGGCCACGCCCGAGCTAGAACACGGATGCCAGCCATTGGGCTCCCGCCTCTGGGCTCGGAGCATCTGATGGGCGGGTTCCCAGGCCCAGCATTAGCAAACTCCGAGGTTCCCTACTCAAAGCCACGGCTCCTTCTCCCTTCCCGCTTGAAACACTGTAACACGGCTCCCTAGCACACAGCGTCCCACCTCAGTCCTGGGGCTGCATCTGTGTAGTGCGGATTCTGAGCCCTAGAACGCTAACAGGAGCCAGGCTGCAGGTGAAAGCCTCTTCCTTCCTTGTCTTCCACAAGCCGCACCGTTGTGGGCCGGTTTGGGGACTCCGGACCGAAGCCACTGAAGTCCTGTTTGCCTTTCAGACTCGTCCGCGGTGCAGGGGGCGTGTTCATCGTGGACGAGGTCCAGGTGGGCTTCGGCCGCACGGGGAAGCGTTTCTGGAGCTTCCAGACGCACGGCGAGGACTTCGTCCCAGACATCGTCACCATGGGGAAGCCCATGGGCAACGGCCACCCCCTGGCGTGTGTGGTGACAACCAAAGAAATCGCGGACGCCTTCCACGCCTCCGGGATGCAGTATTTCAACACGGTGCGCTGCACCCGCCAGTCCAGTTCCAACAGGGGCATAATGCACGCCCTTATGATGTCATAAGGAGTTAGGCTCGGTGTTGCAGAATAAGCACTCAGCGCCCTAGCTGAACTTTGGTCTAACCAGATTCTGTCCTGTCAGGTGCAATATGTCTTGGATGTTTTGCCTCTCCTATCTTTCCTCTTTTTTTTTTCCCCCTGCAGTACCAGGAATCGAACTCAGAACCTTGTGCTTGCAAGGCAGGCATGGTGCCACTCAGCTAAATCCCCGGCCCACTCTTTCCTCGTCCTAAAACAGTCTCATTGGTTCTTCCCATGATGGACGATTATCCTGCCAAACCTTGGAGGTTATGATGTTTTCATTAATACGCAACATGATCTTCTTTGTTTCATATCCTAACTACATCCTAAAGTATGTAGAAGATTAAGTCCTATAAATGTTAGACAGCTGTTATAAGTGAAATGAAATTTTTGTCTTTGGGAAATTTCGTTTATTTGGCTTTCATCCCCAAAGTTATAAGATTTAGGCTTGGAAAACTTATACCTTGTACATAATGTACAACAGAGCACTTATTACAGATAAAAATAATATTCAAGACCAGGAATTTAGGTCAGTGGTGCCATCACCTGCCTTGAAAACACAAGGTCCTGAGTTCCATCCCTCGTACCACACACACAGACACAAAAAAGATTTAACTCCAAGGACATAAATTATTCAGAGAAAATATCACTGCTCCACTATTTTCACTCTGCTCTTCAGGCCCAGAAGAGCAGATTTCCCTCACTAAACCATACGTGTTTTGTTGTTATCTGAGTGAACCAATAAATTCCCTGCTAATCCTGCTAATTCCAGGCATGCAGCACAGAGAACATAATCTGAAATCAATTTTCAGTTGTGAGGGAATAAAATCATGCTCCACCACAGTAGGAGAAATGTTTGTTAAAGTCATATTCTCACTTGTGTGTGGGGGAGGCACATTCCCTCACGGAGGAAGTGATGTCTGATTCAGTGGTTGTTCTCCCTGCAGTTTGGAGGAAACCCAGTGTCCTGTGCAGCCGGTTTGGCTGTCTTGGATGTAATGGAAAAAGAAGACCTCCGAGGAAATGCTGCTCGAGTAGGAGCCTACCTTACAGAGCTGCTGAACGAACAAAAGGTCAAGCACGCGCTGATCGGGGATATCAGGTGAGTCCACTACGGAGCTGACATCCACTTATTCATCCCTGAAACATCAAATTAGTTCATGTCCTACAAGTTCACATGTATCAGCTAAATCTAAAAAACACTGAGAAAGAGAGAAAGCCAAGTTATTCTGAATCCAGAGCCCTGTGTTCAGTGCTGTTGACTTTTAGTGTCCTGGCTTCATTTTCTGTTTCGTAAAGCTAGTGCCATGTCAGCGCCCGAGGCAACTCTGTACAACCTGCAGAAAATTACTTAAAATGCTGCCAAGAAAGCTGGCTGTTTCTCATAGCTATTTAAATATTTGCATGATAAATATCCTGGAAAACTAAAGGTTGTTTTGAAGCCCCTTTCTTTTATAATTGGAAAAAAAAGATGAAAAAAAATGTTTCAGAAACCAAACCCTGTAAACACAGGTAAGCAGGCACCATGGACATCTGTAGCCTCCGGCTTAAAGAGGCACATTCAGTATCAGGTGGGGGTGGGGACAGTGCCAACCACTGACAGCTCAGGGCCCCCAGCTGGACAGGTTTCCCTGTCGCCTTCCTTAGGGGTGTCGGCCTATTCATCGGGATTGACCTCGTGAAGGACCGAGGGAGGAGGACCCCCGCTACTGCCGAGGCCCAGCACGTCATCTACAAGTAAAGCGCCCTGCCCGTGCGTCCCACGCCTCGGCCCCTCTGAGCGCTTGTGTTACTGCTATTTCCTGTCATTACTCAGAAAAGGAAGAGCCAGGCGTCAGGGTGCAGGCCTGTAACCCCAACACTGGGGAGGCTGAGACAGGAGGATCACTGTGAGTTCAAGGCCAGCCTGGACTGCATAGCGAGACCCTGATTCAAAACACCAAAAAAAAAACAAGTCACAGGCAGTTGCTGGCCATGGGCTTGCCGGACGTGGGCCTCCTGCCTGTCTGTGTGTGGGGTTCTTAATAACCTGTTGTCACTGGTAGCCTCACCTGTACTTCCTGCCTGACTAGGATGAAAGAGAAACGAGTGCTGCTTAGTGCCGATGGGCCTCACCGAAACGTGCTCAAAATAAAGCCACCCATGTGCTTCACCGCAGAAGATGCTGAGTTCCTGGTGGAGCAGCTGGATGGGGTGCTGACAGGTGGGTCCCCGGATTACAGGGTCTCCGCCCCCAGGCCTCACCCAGGACGGGACCTCCCGTTCCTCACCATGGAAGGAGCCGCAGCAAGAGGGCCAGTGTGGCTTCCCCTGGGCAATGAGCAGAGAGCAGGAAAAGGAAATGTCCAGTTTACACCCACACAGCTAGGATGATTGGGGTATTTAAAACCACACGTGTGTATCACAAACATGTATAGCCCTGATTTTCAAAAGCAGTTTTTGATACAGGTGTGGTGGCACACACCTGTAATTCCAGTAGTTAGGAGGCTGAGGCAGGAGGACTGCTGTGAGTTTGAAGCCAGCCTGGGCTACATAGTGTTCAAGGCCAGCCTGAACCACATGGAGAGACCTTGTCTCAAAAAAAACTAAAAAGAAGAAAAGTATTTTTTTACAATATTCTGAATCATTTGATTCTGTGTTTTCAATGTTTCTTTTAAATTATTCTTATTAAAGTATTTGTCTTATTCCAATTTAATTATTGAAGACATCACTCAGAATTGCAGTCTATTGTAGGGATTTATCACTTGTTGACCCTCTTTATGTGATTAGGTTCATTTATTTTTCTGTGAGGAACATAAATTGGATTCAAAAATAAACCCCATGGAAAGACTGATATCTTGAATCACTGCTGAAATGTTGGATTGTTTTTTGTTGCTATGATTTTTTTTTTTGTACCGGATATCGAACTCAGTACCTTGCACTTTCAAGGTAGGTGTGGTGCCACTGAGATAAATCCTGGCCCTTGCTGTGATTTTAAGATTCAACTTCTCTGCTTGCATCTCACCTTCCTGGGTGAGGGGCAGGCAGTGAAGCCAGGAATCGGCAGAGAACACAAGTTGGGCAAGTCCAACATAGCGGGGGACAGCGGGGTCCCTGTCAACCCGGGGACCTCACACCCAGCCGGCCAGTGCTCGGAGCCTGCGGGTGCCCTGGTCGAGGCTGCAGGGACTGTGTGTACTGAACTGGGCCAGCAGCATGCCTGGGCCAGAACCAGCAAGGTGCGCAGGGATGGAGAGGGGGTAGAGGAGGAGGAGGGGAGAAAAGGATCACAGTCGGCCTGTACAGGTGCCAGCCCCCACCGTGAGTGCTGTCACTATGCAGCACAAACAAGGACTCGTGAAATAAAGAACAAGGCACAGGTAAGACAGGCTGGCGCCCGTGTAAACCACCACGCGTACACAGCGTAAACCTGCACTTTAGCAGCAACACGCTTCCTTTAACGGGAGACATTTACCTCGCTGCTGGGATGAGCTGAGGCTGTCCAACAGAGACACAAGGTTTTAAGGTGTTTCCATTGCTTTGTCCTGTCCACCTCTTCCTTGGTCTAGTTCTGGAAGAATCCATAGGAACGCAAACCGAACCGGCGATCTCGGGGAACACTGCACACGGAACAAAGGTAAGATGACCACTTCATGTGTAGGGGAAGAGTTTCAAGCTTGGGTGGTGAAAAATGTAAGTTTAAAAAACGGTACCACAGCCATGACAACACATATGCGCCGGCTAGGACTGGCTCACTGTTGCGATTCCGAGTGCCAAGCTCGTGAGGAATGAAGCCAAAGGGCCATTCTTACAGGACCCTACCAGCAGCAGCAGCAGCAGCATCTCCTGTGGGCTGCAAAGAGGGCTTCAAAGTATATGGGGAGAAGGTGATCAGTGGCCGACCTCCTGGCTGTTTGCTGTGAGGGCCTCCTGACTCAGCCTCCAGATCCTGCACCGCTCTCTCCATCCTTGGCATTGTGGTTTCAGAGTATCCGGCCTGGTTCTGAAATGAACCTGCACAGACTCAGCCAGGCCAGAGCTCTGTGGGGCCAAGTGGCCTAGTTTCCACCTCCCAGAGCGCCTTCCCTCTCTCCCCCGCTCTGGTGTGTGAGAAAGAGCCCCACATCAGCACCCAGAGGCAACCTCAGGGCCCGGTTGCATAATCTGTTGTTGTTTACAGCTGAGGCACAAAGGGACGCTCAGTGCCCGCCCACCCATGGAGCGGTCAGCAGAGTCCTCCCAGACTGCAAATGCCCAGGCTCTGTCTCTGCACGCAGGACTGGTGGCTCTGGGGAGAGCAGTTTGCAAAGTCTGGGACGGAATCCCTGGGCACTGAAAGGCTTCCTGCAAAAGCCAGAGCTCACAGGGAGGCCTCTGTGGCTCGCCAAAGGGACACAGTGCTTGGGAAGTCTGATTTGGAGTCACAGGTTTTGTGTGGACATCGCATCTTTTCATCCATTGATGGGGAGGGGTGAGACTGTCTCTGTGTAGTTCTGGCTGGCCTTGAACTCACTATGGCCCAGCCTGGCCTTAACTCCCAGCAATTCTCCTGCCTCAGCCTCCCCAGTGCTGGGATTACAGGTGTGCGCCACCACACCCACTGACACTAACATCAAAGGGCTACTGAGGACATAACAAGGTGTCACAGAGGAGCACCCTGGCTCTGCCTTGCTCCCCGAGGGTTTTGTGTGCCGCTCTGTTAGCAGAGTCCCGTGGAGGCTGGGCCCACCGAGTTTGTCTCTGTCTTGCAGATGCCTGAGGAAGCCCGCAGGGAACTGCCCGGTGGAGCCCCCAACTCCACAGAAATTGCCAGCAGGAGGAGAAATGGCGCATGCAGGGAGACACATTCACCAGCTGGCAAAAGGCTCAGGACATGAGAGCGCGCACAGCCTGGGGAGCTCGCCACTCCCTGCTGCTCCTATGGGCCTCACTCAGCCCCGCCCCACCCCGTCCCACCCCTAGATTTGTGAATGGAAAGGTCACTGAGTCACAGCAGTAAACCCAGACATACGTCAGACATCAGACCTGTCAGGGTCTTCAGCAGCCTCCCCTCTGTCAGCTCCTCTTCTGAGACCCTCTGAGCTTGAGAACTGATTCTGTAATTACAGGGAAGTCTGCAAACACCACCTCAGGGCCAGGCTGGCTCCTCCTCATGTCCTAATGGTTGCAGTTAGAGAGCCAGGATAATAAACTCCTTAGCCGTGGGGACTTAGTGCATTAAACTACAAATTCCATGAGACTTAATATATAAAAATGTATTTATGAACTGTGATTAAAGGTATTACAAATAAAAATTACTAGAAAAGTATTTGCCTTTTTTGCAGAGAATGTTAAGGACTTGGGGGGGGTGATAAGATCAAAATGATTTAGAAAAAAACACATGCAGCAAATACTAAAAAGTGAACGAAGCCAGGCATGACAGTACACACCTGTTATCCCTGTACTTGAGAGGCTGAGGCAGGAGGATCACAAGTTCAAGTCAGAATTCTGAGTTTTTGAGTTTACTTTTCCTATGATTCACTCTTGTCTTCCAAAAAGTTCTTAAGTTTTGTGTTTTGTTTTTTATTCCATAATAAAGAGACAATAACTTTGCCATGGCTTGTTAACTGAGAGGGGTACTGATTTCATTTATTTGTGTCAGCTTGGTTTTTATTTAGTCTAGCTAAGAGTCGGGATAACTATCTTGTTGAAGAACCAGCTCTCTGTTTTGTAGATCTGTCAGAGTTTTAGTCTCTAGTTCACATAATCCTGCTCTGATCTTTATTTTACTGTTTCTAACACCACCTTGGAGAGCACGGATTCAGTCTGTGAATTTAAGGGTTCCCTAGGTCAGAAGCTGAGCCTAAGATGAGGATTCTTGTTCCAAGTTTATTGGTCCGAGGGGGAAGCCGACAGGAGGCCACCGAGGTGGTTCAGCAGGGCCCCAGGCAAGCCGCCTGGCTCCTTGTTCCAGGAAGGGCGGCTTCCAGTGGGCAGAGGGCCATGAGCAGCCAGTAGAAGTCTCCAGAGTTCAGTCCTGCGGCCACAGAAGAGACCTTAAGCACCATTTGTTGAGGCCTCCAGCACCTCCTTGGTTTTAGGACACGGGAGTGCTCCTTTCCCCCAAGGTGCCTGAGATTGTGGACAGCAGCTTTATGCTCCCTTTCCTCGGGGCCGCGTGTCCCTCGCAGGAGAGAAGCCCCGTGAGACTGGGCCACGCAAACCTGTGAGGCTCAGAGCCAGATCCGCTGGGAGCAGGAAACAGGAAGGTGCGTCCCTGGCTGCCCCCGGAAGGGAGGGTGTGCACCAGCCTGGGAAGGCGGGAAGCGGAGCAGGGGAGCCCTGGGCTCAGCCTCATGTAGGGAATGGTAACAGCTCAGCCGGTAGGAGGCCGGCCCAGCCCTGCAGACCAGCGTTGCATGGGTGACGGCTCGGACGGGTTTCCAGGTTCTTGGGCACAACAACAAAGAGCTGGACGCGGCACATGACAGTAAGGAACAAGCAGCCGAGTTCAGTGAAATTTGTCAGGCGATGGTGCACTCAGTGAACCCACGGTTGGGAAGGAAAACAGCACAGGCTCTGAAGGATTGGGCGGTCAGAGTTTAAAATGTGCGCCTCCCATTGGGTGCTCCCAGTGTGATTGACAGCGCGACTGACGGGGTGGAGTCCGCTCAGCTGTGCCCTCTGCGCGTGTCCTTTCCACAGGTCGCGCAGTTATAACTGGGGCAAGGAGGTGCGGGCCTGGGCCTCAACCTACTGCGCTCCAGGTGGAGGTTCCCACGGGTCCCGCTGAGGAATCTGGCACAGGCCTACCTGGGGGTGGGACTTGAGACTCTTACAGGGCGGCCTGCAGAGGCCCTGTCCCCCGCTGCCCCCAGACAGCAGAGTCAGCCAGCCAGACGAGGGGCCCATCTGGGCCCCGCGGGTGCTCTTGGCCTCACCGAGGCCTCCTCACCGGGCCAAGTCCTCTCCTCCACGTCCCTTCCCACGGATATGACTGAGCGGTAATGTGAGTGTGCCCAAACCTCGGCCTACAGGTGCAGTTGGGGTATCAGGTGAGAAGCAGTCAGGGCAACACGAGGCCAGGTGTCTCCCTACACCCGTGGAGGCCGAGGACCTCTGCGTCACCCTTGGGAGCCAAGAGGGGAAGTTCTACCCTTCGGGGAGGCCAGGTCCCCCAACGTGGGAAGTCCAGGCCCTTCCTTCCCTGGCAACTCGAGAGTTATTTTCACCAGTGAGGTCGGGTGAATCTGGTTTAAAGAGGGTCATGTTGATGCATTCTGTCTGATATTGAAAGTTTTAAAAATGAAACAAAAGTCAAAGCCACTCTGATGGATAAGCGTGAAGCCTAAAGCCTCAGTAGCTGGTTATTTTCGTGAGGTTCACCTTGAAGTGAAAATGGGAATAGTTACCACTGCTAACAAGAACTGCTTTGGGGAGCCTCAGACCAGGGAATCTATTTGCATATTCAGCAGGAAAAAATGTCCTGCAGAGAATACAAATTCTAACTCAACCCTCAAACCAGGTCACTTCTACCACAAAATCAATCAATAATGAGAAATCTAAAGCTTTGAAAATGAAACCTGAGTTTTTTCTCTAATAGCCTCGAATATTGCAGGACCCAACGACAAGACCCTCTGAATAAGCACCGCTGCAGAAGTGCGGTCACCTCATTGCCGCTGCCTCCGGCTGACTCGGAAGGCCCGGCGCGGTGAGACTGATGGGCAGCCAGCCTTCCTTCCCGGCGGCGTCCCGGGTGCCCTTGTGTCTGGTCAGGCGTGGTTGTGGGTGCTGTAATTGGGGGGTCCAGACAGGGCTGGTCCAGGGACAGAGAGTCGCTCCAGACAGGTGGCGAGGAGCCAGGTGTCCTCAGAGTCCCCAGCGATCAGCACAGACAGCGAGACGGGAAAATGAGAGCGCAGCAGCGTCCTTCTCTCTGACCCCATCATTAAGCCCTGAAAGTGTGAGTTTCCCTGACGAGTACCCGGTGGACTGAACAGTCACCAGCCTGGTTCGACCCAAAAGCAGACCCTGAGCCGAGGCCCAGGCACAGAATCTCCACCGGCCGTGATTTGGGAGCAGCAGTGGGAAAAGCTGCGGAGAGAGTGGAAGGAGGGAAGCGGTGAGGAGATTTCCGCCTGGCGCTGGGCTCAGAACAAAGCTGTGGACGAGGTTAGAGTTGAGCTGTGCCCACCCCTCCTGCGCTGGCGCCTATGTGAGGCCGATCGACGGCCCACGCTTGCTGGGAGCTCCCTAGCCCACAGCTTCATCCTGGTGGCCGGTATCCAGCAGTGATACGGGTGCCCCTGGGTACCCCTGAGGCCGTCTGAATGCCCTCATTGACCTGCTAGGATGGAAAACGCTTCTAGGACAGTGCGTGCACTGCTACACAGCGAGATGCCGGGTGACAGTCACCCTGTGCGCGTCCTGAGGCCCCCCAGGTCGTAAAGGCACAGGGCGCCCACTGCCAACTCTGGATCCGAACAGCCCCGAGACACCAACAGCAGCCTTTAGGCATGGGCAGGAGGGAGGTGCGAGCAGAAGGCAAGCACACTGTGGGCAGGGCGTGCCGAGCTCTTGGAGCCCCTCGCTGGGCCCGGGCGCTCCCTGGGTCTTTTTTTTTTTCTTTTCTTGAAGAAGGCAAAAGACTTAGGAGCCACAAAAACGCAGATACACACCTAGGTCCTGCCTGTAGGTTTGGACTCCACACTCTGGTTTCACTCTGTTCCCTTTGCGGCTGCCTAACCTTGCCTTTCATCCCGCTCCTGCTTTCCCAACCTTTCTTGCTTGCTCAGGCCCTTCCCATTATCTGCTGGCGGGGACAAAGGTAGGGCGGCAGCCAAGACAACCTCCGCGCCCAGCCTGAAGGACAGGAGGCTCAGGGCAAAGCAGCAACGGCAAAGTCCTGGCTCCACCGCGCCACAGGTCAAAGCACCCGATCCTTGCTTGTTTTTATGTCTTTTTTTCTTTTAAGTACTTTGAGGTCATTCATTAAGGGCTAAGTATTAACTTTAACTGAATTTCTACAATTCCAAATTCTTGGATATCTTTATTTCTAAAACTTTTCCCAAGCTGGGCCTGCTGCTGGGCCATGTCTGTCCCTAAGAACAAGGACTGCTTTCATCCCGGGAGCAGCAGCACCCTGCAGCCACCGCCCCCACCCCTCCAGCCGCAGCCCGCAGCCCCCGGCTCCTTCTGGAGCACTTTCTCTGATTTGTTTTTGTTTTGTTGTTGTTTGTTTGTTTTTTGAAACAAGGTCTCATATATAGTTGAGACTGACCTGGAACTCACTTTATAGCCAGGCTGGTCTTGAACTCACAATGATCCTCCTGCCTCAGCCTCCAGTGTGCTGGGATTACAGGCGTGCGCCACCACGTCTGGCGCATTTTCTCTGATTTGAAAGCTAGTAACCAGGATGGAGGCCATTTGACAGAAGCTACAGGAGGGACCAGTTTGAGCACATCTTCACTAAAAAGAGATGGCCTGGCTTGCAGAAACCCGGGGACTGGAGGGGGCCACACACAGATCGGCACGGCTGGCGCCAGCTCCCCCGTGTCCCTGCCTAGCTCAGCTCCTGCCAGGGAAGCAGCGGAAGGAGTACAGGACAGAGCGGCCCGTACCACAGCCCGGGAAGGCGCAGAGAGAAAAGGCGGCAAACAGCTCTGGGCAGTGCAGTCCCCGAGTCTTCAGATCCACAGATGGGGAGAAAACAGGCACTCACCAGGAAAACGCATCCGCCCCTTCCAGACACGGCGACAGGAGGAACGGCCTGTCAGATGGCTTGGGGGATCAGATGAACAGCAGAGAGGGGAGAGGAGGAGGGGCAGAGGGAGGCGTGGGGCAGGGAGGTGAAGGCGATCTTTGAAGGAGTTGGGGGGCTGTGAAAGCTTGGAGCTCACAAATCTGCTTCCAAGAAGAATATGGGGAACACAGAGGTGAGTCTGGAAATGGCATCATGACTGTACTGGCTTCCCTCGCTGCTGTGACAAATTATCCCAAGTTCGATGGCTTAAAACAACCCGCGTGCATCCTCTCCAAGCTCTGGAGGTCCTACATCTGAAGAGGTTAAAAAGCAAGGCCTTGCCAGCGCTGGACTTGCCGAGGCCCCTGAGGACAGGTGCTGTCCGGTCTTCTCCAGCATTTGGAGGCCACCTCCCTCCGGGACCCTCTCCTCCTCCTCCTCCTCCTCCAACCTTCGGCCTCTACCAGGGCTCCTCCCATCACACTGACCCGCTGTTACCCTGGATAATCTCACTCCAGCCGGCCGCTCAGCCCCTCCGTCACACAGGGTGACAGGCACAGTGCCAGAGACTTCTGCCCACCGGTGACAGCTTCCAAGCAGAAGATGAGTCCATCAAACCCCCAGACGCAGGAGAATAGCTGAAAATAAGAGCTACCCAGGAAGGCAGAATCTGCTGTTTCATTTCCTTATCTATGCAGAATGAGAACTTTGTCGTGAATCCGCACTTCCCAAACCCACTCAGGTGAAACGGTTCGTTTTCTGGGTGCTCCGGCCTTTTTCTCTCCCTCTCCACTGCTTTGCTACACTTTCTGTGCTACGTAAGTGACTCTAGGACTGTTGACTGTGGGGACAGGGAAACCTAACAATGCTGACTTCCAGGAGCTTCAACTGAGGCATGGAAGCTGGCAACACTGCCACCGAGAACAGGCACCCAGAAAATACGTCTTATGGCGACCGCTTCTCCTGGAGGCTCAGGAGCACACATGGCACAGCAGACATTTGCTGTCTGCCAACCCCAGCATGCCTCCTTCCTTCCCACATGCTGACAGTACTGGATTTGCTGCCGGATCTCCCACACATGCTGGCAGGCACGCCCGCGCACACACAGTGGAGAAGCTAGTCGGCCCTTTCCATCCATTCCTTGGGTCGCTGCTGGGACCATTGGCCTAAGCTGGTCCGGGCCAAGTGAATAATGTCCTTTATTGTGATATGAAGATGTGAATCTGGAACTTCTACAGACACTTGGCCAGCGTGAGGATAAAAGCCTCTGTGAAGAAAAGCACCTTGTTGAACTACTAGAAAAAAATATCCGCCCTAAAGCCTGCCCTTTAAATGAGCCAATAAATCTTTTTATTCATTAAGCTAACTTGAATTGGGCTTTTTATTTTCATAGGTTCAAGTTTAACCCTTCCTTTTTCTTTCTTTTTCTTTTTTTTTTTTTTTTTTTTTTTTGGG